TGCCATGGACTCTTGTATTTCAGGGCTGGAGAGAGGCTGGAGGGACAGTCAAGCCCCCATCTACTGGACAGGGGAACAGGCCCAGCGAGGGGAAGGAACTTGCTCTACATCACAATGACAAGAGCCCGGGACTGGGCCTGACAGCAACCAGGCTCCTGTAGGCAGACACGATCCCCTAAGACTTCACTGCCCCGCCCACCCCTGCTACCTGGTACCCGCTACCTGGCCTAGAGCACTGCCTGCCAGAGGGTCAGGGGCATGAAGGCTGGGAAGAGTCCAAACTGGGCTGGGGCACAGAGGACCTGCTGGTCCAGGTCAGTCCTCTCCTGCCTGCCAGCCTCCCCTTGGCCTGGCCTGCTGAGGGCCAGCTTGCCACAGGAAGTATCCCCCAGTGTCCTTTAAAGACTTGATGAAGGTTTAGGAAGGGCTGGTCCTTTCCTCTCTGCTGCGGTGGAAAATCAGACCAAGCTGTAGCCCAATTCGCCCAAGGTGAGGGTCAGCCCCCCTGAGCCAGCAGCAGGTTTTGGAAGAGCCTCGAAGCCCAGAGCCTCGGGGACAGACTTCTCCTGCATTTAGGCAGCTCTGTGGGATGGGAGCCAGGACTCAGGAGCCCTCAGCTAAAAACTGACTCGGTGACAACTTGTGTGAGCAAAAGCAAGCTCCTTGACCACTTTGGGCCTCAGTTGCCCCAAAGTGGTACAAAGACAGGCAGGGGGATGAGCTCAGAGATGCTGAGGGACTGATGGCCTGAGGTTTAAGACACCGACCACACCCCAGGCTGGCCTCACGTGCCCGGGGCCACTGTGCTTTGGGCTGGGAGACAGGCAGGGCACAAGACAGACACGGCGCCCAGAGCCGGGGCAGCCAGGCAGGACGGGGTCGGGGCTCACTTTGGGCTTGGTGCTTCGCTGCAGCACGTCCAGGAGCTGTCTGCGGAAGCCTTCCAGCTGAGAGAGGCCGATCCTGGGGGAGAGGGGAAAACGGGCATCAGCCTGGCCTAGCCAGGGACCAGGGGAGGTACGGGGTGAGGGCGTCGTGGGGGCAGGCACATGCCCGGCCCCCAGGAAGAGGAAGACCAGGCTGCCAGGGTCACAGAGTTGGGGAAGGTGAGTCTGCAGCTCGGCAGGGCCAAGCCAGGGAGAGGGTGCCAGGCAGGGCGGGTCCACCTTGTCCTCTCAGCTTGGGCACCTCAGAGCACACAGGGGGGCTCTGGGGTCCTTCGGGTGGGTGGGGGTCTGCGTGAGGGCGACGTAGAGCCCGGGCGAGGCCCTGAGGAGGGAGGACCAGCCCAGGCTGGGACAGTGGAGAGAGGGAGCAACAGAGACTTGCCTGGGGACGAGATCTTTGCCCAGAACCACAGCTGTCACAAATTCCTTGGAGTACTCCATGGCGTCCTCACTGCAAGGGAAGCAGAGGCGGGGCTCAGGTGGGGAGGGCGCCCTGGTCCAGCTCTCCTGGGGTTAGCTTCTCGGCTCGAGGCCCCCTGGGGAGCGTGCAGGTGCCTGCCCCTGCCCCGCTTTTCCTGCCAGGAGTACTTTGCCGGAGGTAGATCCGGGGTCCTCCTGGCATTTGACAGAGCCCCGCCCCCTCCACTTACCAGGCTACTCCCTGGCTCCCACTGACCAGAAACCAGACTGCCCAGTCCAGTGCCCACCTCTGTCCCACCCCGAGCCCCAGCCAGCCCCAGCCAACTCTGAGGCCCTAGGCGGCTCACCTCAGCAGGCCCCCTGGTGGGGAGTAGGCAAAGCACTTGAGGGTCGGGTACTGGGGGCGCAGGAGGAAGGAGAGGATGGCGGCGGTGCCCGCGCCCAGGGAGTGGCCCACCACAATCAGGCCGTAGTGCTTAGTTCCGCGGCCCTGGGGACCGAGAGAAGCCTCAGAGCCCGGCCCCTGCCCACCGAGCCGACTGTCTCAGCTGACGCCGGAGAGGCAGAGGGGTCTTCCCAGAGTCCTGGGGTCATGTCTGTGGTGCGTGGGTGCTGGGCAGAGGAAGGGCCCAGCGAGGCCCCCACGGGGAAACTTCCTGGGGGAGACTAGTCTAACAAACTCCTACTCATCCTTCAAAACCTTGCTCAGAAGTTACCTCCTCGGAGAAGCCCTTCCGGATCTTCCGGGAGAGGCTTACTCCCTTCTAGACCTTGTGTCTACACCTGGGAATGACCCTCGTACATGGCGATTATACTCTACTATAATCATTTGCTCACCTGCCCCAATCCCCGTGTCCTAACAACGAGACAGGTCTCATGAGGCCAGGGCCTGCTTGGCTTTGGGAAGGGCACTCAGTAGCACCTCGGGAGCTGCCCGCATAGGGAGTGGGCAGTGGGCAGGGCCCAGATCGCCCCCAACCCGAGCAGCACCCCTTCTATGTGCTCTGCAATTATTTTATCATCCTGCTCTGTATTTTAGAAGCCCCCAGCCCAAACCATCGTTGTGCCTCTAGTGCCTGGCACGGAGCAGGTGCTTATAACTGGGCGGGGCTGAGCTGGGGTGCCCAAGAGGAGCAGGTGCAAAAGAGGAAGTGGTCAGAGCGGGCAGGAGGGACTGAGCAAGTGAGGGTGTTGGGAGCCGGGGGTCAAAGGAAAGTGCAGGAGCCTGGTCTTCAGGGCGGCTCCGTCGGTCACCAATCTGTTGCACTGGGGGCGGGAGGGCTGGGCGTGGCGAAGGCTCGGTGGCATGGAACACGCCTCACCAGGTCTCTCCCGAAGGCCTGGGACAGGACCATCTCCTGCTCCAGCTTCTTCTTGATGTACTCAGCCGACAGGACCATTCCCTAGGTGGGTTGAGGGGTAACAGAGGTGGGTGCTTGGAGAGGGTCCGAGACAGAGGAAGGCCTCTCGGGGACCAGCCAAAGCACAGTGACCGGCAGCTCACGCCCCTGTCCCGCTCTGGTCCACATAACAGGCCTGTGGGGGCTGACGGACGCTTTATCACATCGTTTCCGTTTCACAGATGAGGAAACTGAGGCGCAGAGGGGTTGCGTGTCTAACAGAAACCAGTGTGACCCCTTCCCAGCTCTGCCTCCTCAAGCCCTTCTGGGTCAGGATCTGAGCCAGGCAGGGGTCCTGGCGGACAGGCTACGGTGGACCTTCCAGACACATCCACACCTCTCTGACCAATCTCTCCCGGTGAGCCCAGTGAGCAGGGAGGACCCCCACCCCACCAACAAGGCACATCCATGAGCTGGCAGCGGGGAGGGAAGGCCAGGGGCCATCAGGGGCCCACACGGTGGGTACCTTGTGTCCCAGCCAGGTGCCATGGTGCCCCTCCACGGGGAGGCGCTCAGCATCACCAGTCAGGTCCGTCAGGGCATCCTTGTGGGGAGAGGGCACAGGTGAGGGGCGGGGCTGAGGACGGGAAAAGGGAAGCGGCACCTCATGAGGGCGGTGAGGGGGCCCCCAGGGATGGGCGGGGAGCCTTGGGCAGCATACCTTGGGAGACAGGGTTCCCCGAATACTGATTACCACCTTCTTCTTGTCGTGGTCCACTGCCACGTAGAAGGGGGTTTCGTACACCTAGGAGGAGGGTGGCTTGTGAGCCTCAGTGGCCCCGGAATGGAGCCGGACTCAGGCCAGTGACCTAAGCAGGCCTCCTTCCTGGTCAGAGAATTTGCCTCCACCAGCCCCCAGGCCCTGGCCAGGCTGCCATCCCCCAGCTCCCTGACGTGGTCAGCCCTGCGTGCTGCCACCCTGCCTGCTGTGTCCAGAGGGTTGGCTGTCCCTCTCCACGGCCTCGCTGCTTCTTTCCACAATTCCTTCCCCCAAAGGGTGGAGCCAGGGAGCCCCAGTACTGGGTGTGGTTTGGGGTCCACTTTCTAGACACAGAGAGAGTGTGGGGAGAAGGGTCCACCCCTGGACTGCCTAGCTAGGGGACACCTGGAGGCTGCTGTTTCAGTGCCAAGGGCTCCCACTGCCTGGGAGGATGGCTCGGGCACCCAGGGCCCTTGGCCACCTGCTCCTGACACGGGGCTGCAGCCCCACCTGCCCTTCCACAGCCTGCAGAGGACAAAAGCTGGGGGTGCTGCAGGCCAGCCCGGCCCAGCCCGCCCAGCCCCTCACCGCATCATGGCAGGAGGTGTAGACGATGTCCACCGCGGTCATGTTCTCGTCCAGGAAGTGGCGGCGGATGGCAATGGCGTTGCAGCCACAGCAGTTGTCTTCCTCGATGGTAACTCCGGGGGCGAACCGGGGCCGCGTGGGACACAGGCAGCACCTGGGGTGGGGTGCCAGGGCCTCAGGGCCAGCGACCACTGATGGAGCCATCTTCCCCTCTCAGCCTCCCCGGACCCCGCTCTGGCAGCCCCAAACCTCACAAAGCGCTACTGGGCAGTTCCCAGCCCTCGTCTCACGTGGCCTCGTGGCAGCACATGACCCAGTGGGTCCTTCCCTCCCCCTTGAAGTGCTTTCCCCGCTGGGCCCGGGGCGTCCTCTCTCCTGCCTCCTGCACTCGCAGCCTCCTCGGCCCAGAGGTCAGCTCTGGGCTCCCCTTCCGTTGGCTCCTCTCGCTCCTGCAGGGCCTCATCCCAGTGAACCGCCCAGACCTCCAGATGGTCCCCTCCCACCGCCCACACAACGCCTCCTCTGACGCCCCACGGGGCCCGGCCCTGACGGTCCACCCTGCGTGCTCCGCACAGTCCTCCACAGCCCGCCGCTCATCGCTCAGTCCCATGCCGGAGCCACCATCTTCCCATCCCGCCTCCCACCCCGCGTCCTGCGGGTCAGCACATCCGCTCGCTCTGCCTCCAAATCCACAACCAGCCTGACAGCTTCTCCCCTGCCGGCACCCCCACCCCCACCCCATGCCGCCACTGTCTCTGCCTGTGAGTGTCACAGTGGCCTCCTGACAGGTCTCCCTCGTCTCTGCCAGCCCTTACCTTCTCGACTCAGCAGCCACAGTGACCTTTTAAGATATGTCAAGCCGCTTCACTTCACTCAAAAGCCTGATCCTTTCAGGGGCCGAGGGCCCTGCCCCATCCGGTCCTGGCCACCTGTCCCAGGCTCTCTGGCCTGCTCCCTTCGACTCCCCTCTGCTCACAGACACCTTCCTGCCTTCCCTCAGATGCACTGGCCGTATTTCTGCCTCAGCATCTTTGCACCATGGCTCACTCTGCCTGAAACACTCTTCTAGATGTTGAGTGGCTGGACTCATTTCTTTCAGGCTTCTGCTGAAATGCTGTGTGATAGTGAGGTCCACCCTGGCCACCTCATCTAACATAGCCCCCCGGCCAGCGTTCCCCAGCCCCGATGACACAGCAGCTCTATTTTTCTCCGAAGCATCCATCTGCTCCAGGTTTGTGCATTGTCTGAGCCTCCCCACCAGGCGATGGGCTCCACAGGGCAGGTTTTGCTCTGCTTGGTTAACAGCTATGTCTCCAGCACCAAAAACAGCACCAGGCACAGAGTAGGCTTCCCCAAGTGAGCGAGTGAGCATCTGAGCTGGGCTCTCAGCAAGGAGTGCAGCTGCTCCTCTGGCCACCAGAGGGAGCCGGCACCCAACAGATCAAGCCAGGAACTGTGAGAGCATGTGACCCATCCCGGCCACCTGTCTTAAGATGACAGCTGAGATTTTATTAATAATCTTGAATTTTAGAGATGCCAAGAGGTTTATCTTCACTCGAGTAGCACCTGAAGGCTTGTTACACACTTCGCAATGGGGGAGAGGGTTCAGTGAGAAGACTCAGGGTGGGGCCTATCTCAGAAGCCACTGGGCGACCACTTCAATGGATGTTGGGGGAGCACCCCACCCCAGGCCACGTGGGGCTTGGTCTAGATCTGGGGGCCGGGATCCTGTTCTCAGGCTGCTGTCTGCTCTCTCCAAGGACAGCCTCCGCCTCAAGCACTGAGCATGTGGCCGCTACAGTGTGGCCTTCAGCAACAGACCTGGGCTTGAGTCCTTGCTCTGGTGCGTCCCTTCCCGACTGCGAGGGCCCGGGGAGCACTCAGCCACCCGAAGGCTCCGTTTCCTCCTCTGTAAGAGTGGGGTGCTGACAGCTACTTCACAAGGCTAGTGTGACCTCGAAGGCCCAAGACGCAGAAAGGGCCTAGCATATGACAGGCACTCCACAAATGGTAGCTCTCCCTCTGTCCAGTGAGAGGACAGCTTCTGAGGCAGTGGTCTGAGAGCCAGGGGAACGGATGAGAGCAGCAGGGCCAGCAGTCTGGGCTCCTAGGAGGGGCCTCCCGCCTTTTCGAGGCCAGCACTCCGGCATAGGCCTGGCTGGTCAAGCTGTATGGGGCAGGAGAGCTGCAGCCAGGCGGAGGGCCTGGGCCCAAGGCAGGTCAGCAGCTCCTTCTGCTGGCTAGTGCTGGGACTCTAGGTTGCTATGGACAGGCTGGCCCTCAGAGAAAGAGGCCCAGCCCTCTGGCTTCCATCCTAACACCCTTGGCTGCAAGCCTGGCCTTCAGGGCTGCCCCTTCTCCACCCCCTAGATACCTGTTCTTCCAGGCAGGGACCCAGCTGGGCCTTCATGGGGTCTGAGGACTGCCTGCTCTCTCTCTCTCTGGAGCACTGAGAAGCCGAAACAAATGCCAATATCCCTCCTGCATGCAGAACGCCTCAAATGCCTGGCCTGCAGTGACACCCTGGCTTCTGAGAAAGCCTGTGGGCAGGCCAGACAGACACTGCCATACAAATGACATCCCCACTCTGCCCGTGAGTAAGGGAGCAGGGCCCTGGGCATGGGACTCCTGGGCTCGTACTCGTTTCAAGAAGCTCTTGGCTGCGGCAGGGGCTCCCAAGGGTGCTGAGAGGAATCCCAGCTGTGTGCAGGCTGGCAAAGAAGGGAGGGGGCATGGGATGCCCTGGTCCACTCTGTCACTTGCTTGGGGGATGGTGAGAACGAGGTCCCAGGAGCCACCCAGCTTTCTGTGGAAAGGAAGGCTCTACAGGAGGGGTGTGGCTGCTGCTGGCCCTGAGGGCAGAGGTGTCACAGACAGAAGCTCCCTGCCCAGTATGCCAGCCTTTCTGGAACAGGGAGCCAGGGAGCTGTCCTCCTTCTGTGTGGCCTGGGCTGACGTCAGAGACACCAAGTAGGGGGAGGGGCTGAGGCCATGCCAGCACCCTGTGAAGAGCCAGCACCCTATGAAGGGCCTTCTCGATGTCTTTCCGGAGGCCTCTATGGATTGAACCCTCTTTACCAGCAAAGTCCTTTCTTTCAGAAAGGCAGAGCGCAGGAAGGGAGAAGGGAAGATGGGGGGAGAGGGGAGTGGCTGAGAGGGCCAGGGAGAGGGCCAGGAGGGATGGGAACCAGCGGAACCAGATGCTTGGCAACCCCTCCTTTAATCCTCCCAAAACCATTCCAGGAGGTGCGCCTCACCGGCCCCGCTTTACAGGTATAGAAACCCAGGCTGGCAGAGGGACACCGACCTGCCCAAGGCTGCAAGTGACAAAGTCCAGATCCAAACCCGGGACTATGTGATCCCAAAGCCCACGCTCTCCCCATCCAGGGCTAAGGCAGAAGCAGGGAAGTCGAGGCCCAGAGACGGTGGTGCGGTGCAGCAGAGAAGCAACGCAGG